TTGTCTGACCAACACAGCTGTAGCTCTGTCACCTCCCACCACAGTTCTGGAAGGCCGACATCGGCGGATGTGGTGGGTTGAGATGCAGCCCATGCAAAAAAAAGGATATCTCGAGCTTAAACAGATGGATTTGGATGAGATTTTTGTTATTATACTAATTAGATTTCCTTGCGGGCGCGGACATCGACTCTAGGGGATTATTAAAGTCACAGAGGGCTATTGCAAGAAACTACATACAATAATTTTACACTTTTGGAGAGTTTGAAATTGGGATCCTTTGAACCGGACAAGGTCATTTCCAAGCATAGAGCCGACATGGAAATTAATAATATTGAAAGTATTTTGAAAATTCCTAATCTTTTTCTTTGTAAAATTCCTCTAAATGTACATTCTTAGCTCAAATAATTCAACAACCTTTTTTTTTTTTACTATAACAGTAAAATTTCCCTGACGGACAAGGATTGTCCTGACTTTCAAGAATCTCTGAGCTAATTTCCTGCTATTCTACCCATTTCATGGCTTATGACGTGTTCATATTCTCGTGGGCAAAATGGAGGGAGGCCCAAAGCTTGTGGGCTTAACACGCTTGTGGTGGCGTGTTAAGTGAGTCCGGTGTAACAACTTCATAGGCTCTGTTGGGATTATATTAGAGTTCAAAATATGTGCAAACATAGAATAAATTCATAGCAAAATACTTTAGTAGCTTAGATGGCATTTGTATCTCAACACATTTTTTCATTTTAGTCATTTTGTAGACGCTCTTATCCAGAGCGACTTACAGTTAGTGAGTGCATACATTTTCATACTGGCCCCCCGTGGGAAATGAACCCACAACCCTGGCGTTGCAAGCGCCATTCTCTACTAACTGAGCTGCAGGGAACACCTCCTACAAACTGTAGACACCCACACTAAGGCAGTGTCATGGTTTTAACTTGGGTGGGATAGGGTCCAGCAATTACTCCTTAGGGAACAAGGCTCGAACTGGGAAACAATGATCTCCTAAAAAGAACAAGGGCCTTTGTATAATGCGATACTCGTATAGAGAGGCGCTCGTATACATTAGACAGGGGCGCAATGGGGTCAGACCAGACTCAGCTATAAGCTGCAGTGGGCGAGGGATGGATGTATGTTTACCAGACCTACCAGACGGAGTGAAAAGCTGGCCGTTTGTGTCTGGCCTCTCGGTTACAAGGCCAGATCAGGTGTCATTGCTTCATAACCAGGCCGTCCATCCTCCTCACCTTCACCCTTTCTCTGTCTCTCTGTCTGAAAGAGTCTGGGGTCAGACACACATTACCCCCATACCCCTACTGTCTGTTACATTATTAACCCTGTCTTCGCCTGAGAACACCTGCAAGGGGCTGCAGTGTAGACAGACATGCCCCTTGTCATTTCTGTCCCCTCTCCCCTGTCTCTGTCTGTCATGCGTCACTATGGCCTGTGGTAAGATAAAGTAAACCAACCTGGAAATAAATACCATTCAACAGCATGAAAATATATGGCTATAGGGTTATCATAAACTTTGCTGGGCTGTAACATTTGATGTCCAATTTTCTGATATGTCTGATACTGTATGTGATACCATGAGCCTAAATAAAAGCAGCAGTGTGTTGGAACAATAAAACTGGCGCATTTCGAAGCAATATAATCTTTGAAAATACTTTATTGCAGATTTTTATTAAACCCTAGGCATGAAAAATCACACTAACTGTAAAAAAGATTTAGATGTTGCATGTAAATGTCTCCAGGTCATTCACCTCTTAAAGCTGAAATCAATAGCGATGAAACTGCCATGTCCGTTTGCAATATTACAACAACAAAGACGTTACTTCAAAAACAAAATCCACGATGCTGGATGCTAATTTCCTCCAAACAAAAACAATAACAAATGCAACTGGGGTGGCCAGTGGCGCTGTTGTGCCTATCGTGGAGCTCAGCTTTAACAAAAACAACAGATCACTTTGATGGTATGACAACAGACCTGAGGCTAATCCAGTAGAAGGCTTACGCAGAGCAGTGTGTGTGTGTGTGCGTGTGTGTGTGTGTGTGTGTGTGTGTGTGTGTGTGTGTGTGTGTGTGTGTGTGTGCTTATGCACATACACCATACTGCTCTATCTTGTTATGTTATCCCTGATTCTGCTCTGGGTCCTTCAAGCCTGATCTTAAAGTAACTGCCCAGTTTTTCCAGATTTCTATGAAATATGACCTATAATTACTTACAATGTAAGTGAAATAGTTTTCCTTCCAAAAATGTATTAATGTTAAAAAGCTGCTTTTCTGCGTTGGAATGGTGTGGGCGTGCCCAACCACAGAATTGTGTGGGCGTATACCAGTCATCAAAAATATTAATGCAAGTAGTCCGCTCATCCTCCTCTAGACCACTGGTTGGCCAGCTCATCTTACTCAGGGAGATGACATCATGTTCTATGAGGAAATAGCAAGGAAAACAGTCTGTTTGAGATTCAAGTTTGAGGAAGTGTTTTTTTCTCCAATTTATGCTTTAGCCACAAATACGGGTATAGAACAAGTCAACAACATTATTTGGATATGAGTTAACAGAATATTAACTTTTAAAAGAGAGATTTTCACTGGGCATTTACTTTAAATAGTTGACATTGAGTGTTCTTGACCCTGTCACACAGACGTGAGACACCCCCCATCAAAACACTACCTGTTTTGATGAATTCTGGGAAGAATCTAGAAAATGATTGAATAAGGGGATGGCTGAGTGAATTCTTACAAGTGGTAAAAACATGTGTGGTGTGCACTCAGAGAAGGGACAGAGTGCTTTGGGGATTCCCTAGAGCCAATGACACAGGGGCAAGTCACTGGGGGTACAGCCTCTGAGGACAAGTAGAAAGGCTCCTCTGTTACCGGGTCATTGGGGCTTTTGAACGCAATCTCTGCCATTGGGTCAGTGTGCCTCATATGCCTCTCCTAACTGGCTGGCCATGCAGATGCGGTTGCTATGGAACACGTCCAATTGGAGCACATGCAATCCCCTTTCCAGTTTCTAGGCAGGACTCACATGCTGGAGATGTTTTGGTGGGAAACTGAATCTGTGTGTTTGTGTGTATGTATGTGTGTGTGTCTGTGTCTGTGTGTGTGTGTGTGTGTGTCTGTGTGTGTGTGTATGTGAGAGAGAGAGGAGAGAGAGATATCAGGAGGAAGGATGGGTTTTTGAAGTTGCTGAAGAAGTGGAGCATGTGATTGTGCAGCCATGCGTGTGTGTGTGCATGCGTGCGCACCCCCGCATGAGAGAGCTGTCTGATGCAACAGAAAGTGATTCTGGCATTGCCTCTCCAGGCTTCTGAGGCTTCGATGGGAACTTGTTTATTTTTTCCCCCTCCTCCAGGAAGCACTTGTAAGCCAATGACGGCGCTGTTGCCATCGGAGGCAGCAAGAGACGTTCGTTATGTCTCTGTTCCCATCCCATGCACCCCTCATCCACAGTTTCATTAGGAACTGAGTACCCTGGCTCTCTGTTGAAAAGCTCTGTGAATATCAGTATTTTCATATATCATTCATAGAAAGCCTTTATGCAACACAGCTTGTCTCAGTAAACAAACAAATTATAGATTATGGAGGAAATATGCCCATAAACAGGAGCCACTAGTGATTAAAATGTATTGTTGAATGCAATATTTATGTTCCTAGATAGCGGAGCCAGAGAGATGCCCCTCTATTCATTAATATTCTAGCAATAGGCCTATCTTTATACCTCCTGGGAGTAGCTTGATGACAAGATTAACCTCTGACTGCTCTTCATGTCTAATACATAACTACAGCATACTGAATAGCATACAACCCCTATTATCATTCATTTTACTTGTTTGATCATCCAAAATGTTATTTTACTTTTCTCCATTGAACTGGTTAACACAGGACTGAAACCATGAGAGTAACCATTGATATGAAGGCAGATATTTCAGACGGTGTATTTTTCCATCACCTCAGATTGAGGAGATAAATATTGGTGGCCGCCTCGTGAACCTGGAGATAGCCTGATGAATTGGCCGAGGGCCAGAGTTGTCCCTGCCTCTGGGATTCAAGACAGAGAGCAAGACTCTGGGTTCAGCTCAGGCCTTCTGTGGACCAACATAATCATATTTCTCTATTTATACATCAGCTTTAGAAGAGAAATAAAACTAATCCCAGGCAAAAATATGAACACTTCAACAGTGTCATTTAGGCTGTAAAATGTAATGGCAGACTAAGCCACTCTGCTTCCCAAAATTACATGGTGTTGCAGACAAAATGAAAGGCTATTTAAGAAACTGACATAATACATTACCGTAATTAAAGCTGTCAAATAGTGTGCTTTTTGGTTTCCAGAGAACAAGACATTCAAATAAATGAAATGAACCGTTTGTAAGCCATGACTCATTTCCCTCAACGAAGAGTTGCTGACTCAATTGGAAAGGTGCCGTTATGAAACCTCTCATGATACCTTCACTATCAAAAGGCTACTTCTCAAATGACAGTTTGAGGGCCAGGCAGAGTAAAAAGACAGTTTTAAACCCCTGTGTGTTTATGTTTTCTTATGGCTTAATATTCTACTTCCGCTGGTTTGGCAGGGGCCAATGAGGACCTATTCTGTAGTAATTACTACATGAAATAGATTATTTTCACTCTCCAACAAACTTGAAAGTGATTAATTGAATGCTCCTGTTTTGTTGATGTACAAAGCATGCTGCCATCATCAAAGCTTCCTCTCTTCTCAGCTTTGTTTATTTTCAGTGGTCGCTCATGCGAGAGTGATCAAATGTCCAATATCAAACTGAGTGAGAAACCAATCCTCTTTTCCACGGAACATCTCCAGCTCCTTGGATACACTGCAGATGGGACAAATCCAGGCAGAAAATCCTACCCCATTGAAAGTGGACAGAGAAACCAGGGAACCGCAACTTCTCACACAGCTCACTACTGAGACATCACAGTTGATAGGGGTGGGAGCTAGAGGAGTTGGGGGCAGGGTGATTGTCTTGTTCTGTGAGAGAATGCAGGGTCACCCTCTGCCCCAGCTGTCCAAGTGTTTATTGATCAGTGATAACCCTGAGGGGAGGAGGGGAGGCAAATCATAACAACTAGCACCTGCCCTGGCCAGCCCTGCCCTGCAAACTGAGCTGAGCCTAGGACTCAATGCTTACTGCATCCAAATGAGCCATAATAGTGTCAAACAAAGTTAACATGACAGGCTGGGCTGATATGTTTTGTCATAATCACAGTCCCAGTGAGCTGTGTTAGAGAGACTGGGACTCTCAACACATTACCAAATTCAATGGCAGGCCTATGGGTAATATGATAACAGCACACAAGGATAGTTTATGTGTGAAACAGCCCAGCTTTTCAGCTGTTTAGTCCAATTAAGGCAGACATGATCTAAGGCATTGGTTCTCAAACTGTGGGGCACGCCCCCTATGGGAAAGAGAGAGGGGGGGTCGGCCGTGGAACTCAGTTTGGCTTTAAACGTACTCTTAAAAGTTGTAATAGTAGAATCCACAAGGTGCAATTTCGAAATTGGGTAGGGCGTCAGCAGTTCCTCTTTTCATGTTAGTCATTGCATACCTTAGAGAGCTATTTATAACGTGTCAGAAATGTCCAGATCAACTAGCTAACGTTTTTTTATTTAGGTCTTTTAGTCACTCAAACATCACATGAATACACATTAGACAAAAATTTATAGAATTGCAAGAAGATTTGCTTTAAAACTGCAACATTTTCTTTGCACCCCATGACAAAATGTGTAGAATTGCAGGAAATAAGCTTTAAACCTGCAAAAGAGGGGTGTGAGCAGTTTGTGTCATGAACAGTGCTTGTGCCCATAGAAATAGATGTGGCGCATTGCTAAAATATGAAAATACTACATGTCACGTCTCAAAATCGATATCTATCTTACGTCTATAGTGTTTTATGTCCTGCGGGTTCAGGAAGAAAGATGACGAGTTCAACGGAAAAGTGAGCCTGTCAGGTAGCCTTCATTCTCGCACAGCCGAGCTGACGCAATGCTGTGCAATTTTCCTTATTTCTTTTTTCTCAGGCCTCTATTGATTTAGTCACCCTAATTTTGGCCATCCTACAAGGGCATAAGAGATTTTTTGATGTACGGATTCCATGAACTGATACACAAAACGACACCGTATTCAAAACATAGCATTTTTCAATTTAAAAGATTATACAAAATACTTGCAACCAATAGAATGTTATATATTTGGGGGATACAACCATCACTGCAGATTTTGCTGCGAAGAGACAAAATCATTAGATCATTTGTTTTGGTACTGTCCATATGTACAGTGCCCTGCAAAAGTATTCATCCCCCTTGGCGTTTTTCCTATTTTGTTGCATTACAACCTGTAATAAAAAATGGATTTTTATTTGGATTTCATGTAAAGGACATACACAAAATAGTCCAAATTGGTAAAGTGAAATTAAAACAATAACTTGTTTCAAGAAATTCTCAAAAATAAATAACAGAAAAGTGGTGCATGCATATGTATTCACCCCCTTTGCTATGAAGCCCCTAAATAAGATCTGGTGCAACCAATTACCTTCAGAAGTTACATAATTTGTTAAATAAAGTCCACCTGTGTGCAATCTAAGTGTCACATGATCTGTCACATGATCTCAGTATACATATCCACCTGTTCTGAAAGGCACCCAGAGTCTGCAACACCACTAAGCAAGAGGCACCACCAAGCAAGCGGCACCATGAAGACCAAGGAGCTCTCCAAACAGGTCAGGGACAAAGTTGTGGAGAAGTACAGATCAGGGTTGGGTTATAAAAAAATATCAGAAACTTTGAACATCCCACAGAGCACCATTAAACCATTATTTAAAAATGGAAAGAATATGGCACCACAACAAACCTGCCAAGAGAGGGCCGCCCATCAATACTCACGGACCAGGCAAGGAGGGCATTAATCAGAGAGGCAACAAAGAGACCAAAGATAACCCTGAAGGAGCTGCAAAACTCCACAGCGGAGATTGGAGTATCTGTCCAGAGGACCATTTTAAGCCATACACTCCACAGAGCTGGGCTTTACGGAAGAGTGGCCAGAAAAAAGCCATTGCTTAAAGAAAAAAATAAGCAAACACGTTTGGATTTCGCCAAAAGGCATGTGGGGGACTCCCCAAACATATGGAAGAAGGTACTCTGGTCAGATTAGACTAAAATTGACACAGTGAAGCATGGTGGTGGCAGCATCATGCTGTGGGGATGTTATTCATCGGCAGGGACTGGGAAACTGGTCAGAATTTAAGGAATGATGAATGGCGCTAAATACAGGGAAATTCTTGAGGGAAACCTGTTTCAGTCTTCCAGAGATTTGAGACTGGGACGGAGGTTCACCTTCCATCAGGACAATGACCCTAAGCATACTGCTAAAGCAACACTCAAGTGGTTTAAGGGGAAACATTTAAATGTCTTGGAATGGCCTAGTCAAAGCCCAGGCCTCAATCCAATTGCGAATCTGTGGTATGACTTAAAGAGTGCTGTACACCAGCAGAACCCATCCAACTTGAAGGAGCTGGAGCAGTTTTGCATTGAAGAATGGGCAAAAATCCCAGTGGCTAGATGTGCCAAGCTTATAGAGATACCCCAAGAGACTTGCAGCTGTAATTGCTGCAAAAGGTGGCTCTACAAAGTATTGAATTTGGGGGGGGGGGGGGGGGGGGTGAATAGTTATGCACGCTCAAGTTTTGTTTTTTTGTCTTATTTCTTCTTTGTTTCACAATAACAAATATTTTTCATCTTCAAAGTGGCAGGCATGTTGTGTAAATCAAATGATACAAACCCCCAAAAAATCAATTTTAATTCCAGGTTGTAAGGCAACAAAATAGGGAAAATGCCAAAGGGTGTGAATACTTTCACAAGCCGCTGTAGCTTGTTTTTGGTCGCAGGTTCAGGAATGGCTGAACTATTGCAACATTTACCTGGAGCTAACTCTGCAAATAGCACTGCTGGGTGATTTGAAAAGTCATAGTCAATCTCTCAATAATATAATAATACTCTTAGCAAAAAAGTTTATCTTTAATTTACATCTGTAGAAACTATGAGAATAGAAAGGTTCAGAACTTTTGTGAAACATCAAAGCACATTTGAAAAATATATGGCAAATAGAAAAACTGGATGGTGTTCAGAGATAGATGGGAGGGGTTGAGTGGAGCTGAAGGGTGGGACTAAAAATAACAAGATAACTAATGTAAAATATACTGTGTCCGTGAAATGAATATAGTATGTATAAGCTGGAAGAAGTAGAAGCCTAAGTGTTGTTGTCCATTAGTTTACTCCAATTAGAGGAGGGGTGGTATATTTTAAATATACACTACCAGTCAAAAGTTTTAGAACACCTACTCATTTAAGGGTTTTTCTTTATTTTTACTATTTTCTACATTGTAGAATAATAGTGAAGACATCAAAACTATGAAATAACACATATGGAATCATGTAGTACGCAAAAAAGTGTTAAACAAATCAAAATATTTTATATTTGAGATTCTTCAAAGTAGACACCCTTTGCCTTGATGACAGCTTTGCACACTCTTGTCATTCTCTCAACCAGCTTCACCTGGAATGCTTTTCCAACAGTCTTGAAGGAGTTCCCACATATGCTGAGCACTTGTTGGCTGCTTTTCCTTCAATCTGCGGTCCGACTCATCCCAAACCATCTCAATTGGGTTGAGGTTGGGGGATTGTGGAGGCCAGGTCATCTGATGCAGCACTCCATCACTCTCCTTCTTGGTCAAATAGCCTGGAGGTGTGTTGGGTCATTGTCCTGTTGAAAAACAAATGATATTCCCACTAAGCCCAAACCAGATGGGATGGCATATCGCTGCAGAATGCTGTGGTTGCCATGCTGGTTAAGTGTGCCTTGAATTCTAAATAAATTCTAAATAAATCACAGACAGTGCAACGCTCCCCATCCAACCTGACAGAGCTTGAGAGGATCTACAGAGAAGAATGGGATAAACTCCCCAAATACAGGTGTGCCAAAGAAGAATCGAGGCTGTAATCGCTGCCGAAGGTGCTTTAACAAAGTACAGAGTAAAGGGTCTGAATACTTATGTAAATGTGATATTTTTGATAAATTTGCTAAATAAAAAAAATAAACAAATGTTTTTGCTTTGTCATTATGGGTTATGGTGTGTAGATTGATGAGGGGGAAAACAATTTAATCCATTTTAGAATAAGGCTGTAACGTAACAAAATGTGGAAAAAGTCAAGGGGTCTGAATACTTTCCGAATGCACTGTATATAAGGTCCCACAGTTGACAGTGCATGTCAGAGCAACAACCAAGCCATTAGGTAGAAGGAATTGTCCGTAAGGCTCCGAGATAGGATTGTGTCGAGGCACAGATCTGGGGCAGGGTACCAAGAAATGTGTGCAGCATTGAAGGTCCCCAAGAACACAGTGGCCTCCATCATTCTTAAATGGAAGAAGTTTGGAACCACCAAGACTCTTCCTAGAGCTGCCTGCCCGGCCAAACTGAGCAATCGGGGGGAAAGGGCCTTGGTCAGGGGGGGTGACCAAGAACCCGATGGTCACTCTGACAGAGCTCCAGAGTTCCTCTGTGGAGATGGGAAAACCTTCCAGAAGGACAAGTCCTTTATGGAAAAGTGGCCAGACGGAAGCCACTCCTCAGTAAAAGGCACATGACAGCCCGCTTGGAGTTTGCCAAAAGACACCTAAAGGACTCTCAGACCATGAGAAACAAGATTCTCTGGTCTGATGAAACCAAGATTGAACTCTTTGGCCTGAATGCCAAGCGTCACGGCTGGACGAAACCTGGCACCATCCCTACAGTGAAGCATGGTGGTGGCAGCATCATGCTGTGGGGATGTTTTTCAGCGGCAAGGACTGGGAGTCTAGTCAGGATCAAGGGAAAGATGAACGGAGCAAAGTACAGAGAGATCCTTGATAAAAACCTGCTCCAGACTGCTCAAGACCTCAGACTGGGGCAAAGGTTCACCTTCCAACAGGACAACGACCCTAAGCACACAGCCAAGACAACACAGGAGTGGCTTTGGGACAAGTCTCTGAATGTCCTTGAGTGGCCCAGCCAGAGCCCGGACTTGAACCCGATCGAACATCTCTGGAGAGACCTGAAAATAGTGGTGCAGCGACGCTCCCCATCCAACCTGACAGATCTTGAGAGGATCTGCAGAGAAGAATGGGAGAAACTCCCCAAATACAGGTATGCCAAGCTTGTAGCGTCAGACCCAATAAGACTAGAGGCTGTGATCACTGCCAAAGGTGCTTCAACAAGTACTGAGTCAAGGGTCTGAATACATGTGTAAATGTGATATTTCTGTTTTTTATTTTTAATACATTTGCAGACATTTCTCTTAAAACGGTTTTTGCTTTGTCATTATGGGGTATTGTGTGTACATTGATGAGAAAAAAATACGATTTAATCTATTTTAGAATAAGGCTGTAGCATAACAAAATGTGAAAAAAAGTCAAGGTGTCTGAATACTTTCCGAATGCACTGTATATGGGTGATTGGAAATGATGCAGACAATTACATTGATGGAAGCCACAATCTATCTGAAATATTAAAGCTGCTCTAACCCCTAAATATTTCTTTTTTTCATTAACAAGTATATCCAAAAAGTCGTTTTTTGTAAATTAATACATCCAATAATAAGCACCGAGCTCTGTTGACAGAGCTGCGAAGCTTTCTTGCAACTACTTTTGAGGATTTTACATGTTGTGGTGGTCGTTTTCAAAGGGTTGCAAAAAGAAAAATTAGCATTACACGAGCTGAATTAAATGTAAAAGGCTTTGAAAATAAAAAGCTTGCGGTACACTCATTTCACAGAGATACAGTTGTTTTTGAGAAATCTTTGAAAAATAACAGGAATTTTGCGTTAATATGAAAAGCGTATACTAAAATGTGAAAATACTACATGTCATGTCTCAAAATCGATATCTATCTTACGTCTATATTGTTTTATGTCCTGCGGATTCAGGAAGAAAGATGACGAGTACAACGGGAAAGTGAGCCTGTCAGGTAGCCTTCATTCTCGCACAGCATCCAGTTTAGCTGACAGGATGCTATGCAATTTTTTTTCTTTTCTTTTTCTGGCCTCCACTGATTTACCCAATTAACATTTTACCAATTGGTCAAAATAGGCGTTATTGGTTGGACACCCTATATAATTACATTTTCTTGCCAAATGCATGCCTATCTAGAACAAACCCAACAATGTCATCCTAAATATGAACATAACATTTTGCCACAGACTGTTGGCATTAGGCCTACATCTGTTTAAAAAAAGTATCTGGTCATAGCAAAAAGATTGTGTGGGCATAGTGTAACAACCCAGTTGTTACAGTTTTAGTAGCCTACAACTTTCAATGTTTTTTCTAATTCATAATATCATTGACATGACTCTTATTATATCGTATAAGTACTAGGCTGTAAACCCTTTGTGTTCACTTGTTCTTACTTTCATTGACGGCAATTCAGTCAGCTGAGCATAAGCTACAAACCAAAGCTGTCTCATGCACGAGGGAAATTCCCATCCACGTGTCTGAATACACGATTTGGAAGCAGGATCAAAACAAACCCTCTGATTGGTTATAGGAACAAAATGCTAAAGAGCTCTTAAAGGGCCATACACTACTTACGTTGTAACGCCAAAGACACTCTGTGGTAACACAATTAAAAATAGCCTCACATACTGCTGTTTCTTTAAGACCACTTTATTTACTTTTTTTTATGTTCACGCCCAGTATTTGAGGGCGGAGAGATTTTGTAGCTGATGCCTGCGAATGAAATCAGCTTGTTGCCATTTGTCTCACAGAATCAAAGTTGCGGTGGAGTGATACGGACTAAATCCTCTTGGGTTTACAGTGAACAGAGACCATTTACAATTTTCTATACACCGGTAATATCATCGAAGGACATATCTTGTGGTGAGTTCCGAGTCATAATGTATCAAATAAGATTGAACAGTGTCATTCACCTGTTGTTGTTTTTTATTTTAGCTTTGTTTTGCTGGTCTGCCTGTGCTGTAAATTCTTGGACATTGTGTCATCATTGAGTCGCGCTACATTGTGTCTCTAACACCACCCACGGTAAAGTGAATTTACCGACCCATTCATTATGTGTGGCTATTTCTCACCGGTATAGGACATTAGATGGATATTGGACTATTGGCTTGACAGTAGTTGCGGGTTGTTGTGATATGGCAAAACAATCGTGGCCAGCTACATAACATAGTCTTTTTTATTTTGTGTGCGCGTGGAATTGGCATTCCCTCGCTTTAGAGCTTCGGTCTGTCGGCACGGTGTCGGCATTTGCAGCGTCTCCAATGGTTTTACTCAAACTCTAAACAAGCAAGCAATTTTTCCAAGGACTCAAGTTGGAAAATAACACATATATGTAGCCTAATGCGTTCAAATGTGCTTAATAAACAAATTAATTAGCAAGTGTAATAAGACAGCTATTACAGGTTGCTTCAAAATAATCAGAGCGTGTCACGAATCTTACGATACAGCAGAGGATAAAGATTAACTGCGGCCGCACAATAAATGATGTAAAATGCTTGACAGTTGAGATAGAAAGTTGTCATTTTCATATCTCACAGCTCAGTGTCTCTTGACTTATGATGAACCATAGCCTATAGGCTACTACTGTCCGTTACCTGAATAGTTTTAGTGTCCTTTGCTCAACACATCTGGAAGTGATGTCTTGAGTGATAGTAGGCTATTTGTGAATCCATTGAGCCCAATACAGCAGGGGGAGCTGGTTGACACACACTTGAGGGAGCAGACTTTGGTCTGTGGCAGAGAACTGAATGGTAGTTGTAACAAAATACCAGCAGAGTATAATTTTGTGCAACTTCCATGTTCTTGTATTGTGTTTGTCAAAACAACGCACTAAGTGGTTTTGCATGTAGTGCTTATTGGGAATGCATACAGGGTGCCATAGCAAACCTCATTACACAGAATAATAGGCACTGAAGAGACTGAGGCAAATCTCTTTGGGTGAAGAAATGAAAAAGCATCCTCAGAACCTGGCATGTTGACAAATCCAAGGAGAGAAGAAGAGAGTGGCTCCGTCTCTCTCCCTCCAAGGCTGTCATTACCCATTTGTGTCAGACTCTCATATGAAAGTGTATAGTGGTGTGGTAGTAGCCTAACCCTATATTACAGTATTGATGGAGAGTTCTGAAAGGGTTCACGAGGCTACTTACATTTCAGCAGTATTTTGATAACACTTTGACCCCCATATCGCCGAAGGCTGTGTGATACTGTGAATTAACCAAGCAGAGAGATTGTTGTCTGCTCTGCTAGCCAAGGGCCTCAGGATAATCCTAGCATGAAACACTGCCAGTACTGGAGGGATCCTCAAGTTGATCTTGCAGCAATGTTGTAGAGAAGCTTTTCACTTTTTTTCTTCCCTTCTATCCCATTTTATTTTACAAATCTCATTAGAAGTGTAGACCTATTCATTATGAGCAAGTCTCTAGACCAAGCTTCAGACTTGTCATTTAACCCTTTTCGTCATATTTGCAAGTCTAGGCTTTGTTGTCTCGGCTACTCTGCATGGTATAGTCTCAAGCCATTGGACTGTATGAGGGACCAAGCTAGCCACAGGTCCGCTGGGTTGAGGTCGGAGAGAGATGGAGACTGCCTCTCACTCAACCCTGTCTGCCAACCCCCCCATTTTGGTACATTTAGCCAACAAGTCTCCTAACCACAGCCAATTGTGTGGTTTGATCACTATGACGAGCTGAGCGATTTGTCTAAATCAGCACTGTGCTTCACAACCACAGACTGAGCAGAGCTCTGCTAGCTTTCTGTTCCACATAGATCTCCTCCACTGACTGCGCTCTTCTCTGTCTGGATCAGCCAGCATGGCCTTTATTTATAGAAGGGTTGTTATTATGGATTAGTGAGGTTGTCTTTAATGGTAATTATTGTTCTGACCAAATGACCAAGTACATTTACAGAATGGTGAATGTTCTCTATGGCCCTGCCTGAGGTAATCTCATTAGTACAGACACAGACATGTTTAGAATCCACATTGATTTGAAGGTAAAGATCCCAATTTGTCAATGTCAATACAGTAGTCAATGGAAGTCTTAGCAGAGCAATATGCCTAACTCCCTCTTCATTTATCTCTCTCTCTTCTCCATCTAGGCAGGACTTAGCAGATTTCTGCCGTATGGATGATGAGGAGGATGATGTGTTTGTGCCAGACTCCTCCCACTGCTGGCGCACAGCCTTCAGGGAGATAAAGTACGAGGACAGGGGCACCCAGACGCCCAGCCCTGCCCTGGCACTGCCCAACGACATGCTGCCCTGTGGGGTGGCCCAGGAGCCCAGACCACTCTTCTACGGTAAGGCCTACAAAAACACGCATGCATGCACGCACACAAACAAACACAGTGTGAGAAATAGGTAAGAGTGGAACTCTGCTGTAGTCAGCTCCTGGCGCCTGATAGTCCCAACCACAGAAGCTTTTATGACCTGTGTGTAGTGTACCCAGCTGCTTTCCCATTCAGATGGCGCCACATCAGGTGATTTAGCCTGGCCCTGTGCAGTCCGTGACGACAGGCCATACCTGTATAACTGACCCTTTACGAGGACACCATGGTACTGTCTGTCAGTGATGCCCTCTTTGTCCTGTCACACTACAGATAACGCTGGTAATGGAAAAGATTACTGTATGTAAACTTTGGAGTGTTATGAGTTGCAGAGCATATAAAATTGACGTAACCAGTATATATGGCCTTTTTGCTACAGGCAACGCAGGCTTTCGATTGCACTTCCCAGCGCGGTTTGAGCAGGTTGGAGACCAGGGGCCTCAGGAGCGGCATCAGGGGGAGAGAGGGAGGATGGAAAGGCTTCAACAGCAGCCTCAGCAGCCAGCACAAAGCATGGAGGTCTGCATTGGACAGAAACTCCAACTCATCGGAGACCAGTTCCACCAAGAACACCTTCAACTGGTGAGGATACCCACTGTGACTGACTGCACAACACAGCTAAAGCACACTGGATAGGCCTACTGTACTCAGGGGCCTGCAGAGAGAGTGAGCACCAGAAGTGGCTTCTTTAGGGGCATCCATTGTAGGCATGTCTAAGTGTCCCATGTTTGTATTGGCCAGTTAGTGAACATGCATTAGCCCAGTGTTCTGACCTCTTGTTCTAACCTCCAAGACACAGCTTAACCAGAGCAGCCCCTCCCCCTCCCCCACTAACCCCTCCCATGCCTCAGCTTCCTGTTTATTTGTCTCTGCCTCTCTCCCCCCATTTCCTCCCTATGCTGCCACGGCGATACAGGGGGCATGAAGGAGTCCATAACAGACATTATGGTCAGGGTGACACTGCTAGTTACTGTGCTGACTGCGTTGAAGAGCTCAGACTGTAACTCTCTTGACATCACTGGAGGCTGGTTGGAGGAGCTATAGGAGGACAAGCTCATTGTAATGGCTGGAATGGAATTAATGGAACGGAGTCAAACGTGGTTTCCATATGTTATTCCATTCCAGCCATTATAATGAGCCTGTCCTCCTATAGCTCCTACCACCAGCCTCCACTGATGTCAAGAGAGTTACAGTCTGCTCTGCTTGACATACTATACATTTGGTTGTATTGGTGGTAGAACTGTGGATCTTTGAGATTTTCGTTCTGCAGAGCACCAATGGCACGTTTTGAGGAGAAGGAAACACTAAGGGAGTCATCAAGCAGCAAAAACTAAAGGCACACACTTACACACATAAACACACTCAACACACTCTCACACAGAGAAAAAGCAGAAGTGGCCGGACTAGGTAAACGTGTTGTAACCCGAAGCTTGGTGCGTGAGCCCGGGGGAACAGATGTGGTTAGGGAGTCTCCAGCCAGTCCTGCCGATCAGTCGCCCCCACCACCAACAAAAGACACCCAAATAAGAGGGCTGTGTGTCTGGAGGAGGGGCCGGGAGGGGCCCACTCACTTAATGCACACCCAATCTAATGAGCTTAGGAGTTTGGAGCATATCTGACCAACTAAAGACAACCGTCTTGAATTTCCTCAAAATCTCTTTCATGAAGTGCATGGACCTCTTCAGTCTTATATAGGTAGATATTCAAGGATTTATTTGGGCTCTGAAACTAGATTTTTGCAATCAGATTTGTGTAACTAAGCTGACTTCTTATTCTCTGATGTGTTTCTGATTTTTTCCCCACACTCATGCTGGATTATTAATACCACAGACTGCTGTCCTGTAGCCACAGTGCACCGTGACTCATCTGATGTGACACAGGAAGTTAAAGGCAGAGTCAGGCAGGCTTTATGTTATCAGGGCTGTGATACACTGACTGACGCACAGCAGAGACAGGCCAGACCAGGCCAGGGGATGAGGAAGTGGCTCTTGCACTCTCCTTACTCACTGGGTAAACACAACAACAAGTGAGAGTAGACAGAGTGAGAACTCTGTGATATCATATCCTGAAGCTGCAGAGCTCTTGCGCACATACACTCACACACTGCTAACCCTAGCAAGTTAAGGAAAAAAACAAATGTGTGAGGATACTTTTTTTTTTTTCAAAGCCCAGAGAATAGTGGATCTGGAATATTGACTTTGGCAACCTACTGTATATAGCAACCAACAGTTAGGTGTTATTTCAGTCCTTGAAGTTATTGATTACTCTCTTGTCAATCGAGTGGGCAGAATTACTGTTCTTGTCTACAGAGCCAACAGCCCAGGGAGTTGTACAGGCCTGAGTCTCTGAGAGTTTCTCTCTGCCTGTCTGGCTGCTGTTGAGTGATGCTTGGACAGACTAACCCAAACACATCAGTGTGTTTTTTATGTGTGATCTCCAGTTTAGCCCAGGGCTGCTATTCCTGGCGTTGTGCTTTCCTTGTGTAATCAAGTCTTCAGCAGTGAGGTAGGTAGCCCACCTCAGGCTGCTGGTGCTCGGCAGCACAGTCTGTGTGTGTGCACGTGTGTGTACACACATGTGTGCATGAGAGGAAGTGTGTGTGTGCGTGCATGTGTAAGCATGACTGTGATATTGTCTTTCAGTCTCTCACCTTTCAATGTTATGTCTCTCGCTCCAACCCTCTCTTTCTCCCTCTTGTCAATGGATTATTGTGGTCATGTATTGTAGAGCATCAGAAGGCTTTCAAACACAGTTTGACACCCATCTCCTTGATTGGCTCATAAACAACCCCTTCCGTTTCCCTATCATCCTACCAACATGGCCCACTGCAGGGGGAGGGAGTAAGGTGCTTAAGTGTATAAGTGGAGCGTTGGTGCTGACAGATAAACTTCTCCTCAGTCTGAGAAGGCTGGAGGGGATAGAGCAGAGGCCCTGAGAGCAGAGCAGGACTGACATGACATGAGGAGGGCAGCCATTTGAGACATGGCAGTAATGACAGTCACAATGACAGGAAGACTGCCACAGTCTGCACGGGGCGAGGAGCAGAGTTGGGTTACACTGGTGTGTTTTTCTAAAGACTCCTCCTGGTGCGCTCAATGAGTGTTGAAAGCCCAAGCACTGAATGTCCCTAGGGTGTGTGTGTCTCAGATCTCCATTCCTTATCTTCTCACTGTTCCGTAAGGGCACTTCACTTTCTCTACAGCACAGACCAGGGGGTGGGGAATTAATGCTTGCTGTTGCTGTTGAGATGTAGATGTCTAGATTCCTGTCCACTCCTGTCCTGAGATGTGTGGCTCTGAGTCTCTGGCCACTGGTCGTTGCCTGTCTGTGTAGCTTATAAGCCAGTGCCTCTGTGAGCCATAGGACAGACAGACAGACAGACAGCATCATGAGGCTCTGATAAAACACATTAGGGTTGTGTTGGCGTGATGACACTCTGCATCTGGCTAGTGTCTGATCTCTATCTCTGGCTAAATTTAGAACCTGACTGAGTCATATTAGACAGTTGGTGGTTTGACTCGTGACTTATGAGGGAGCGACAGGGCTGGCCCACACCTTCTCACCATCTCTGAGCTGAGCTGGGTAGAGGAACCAGAGGAGGAGAAAAGGTCACTGTCAAACTCAGGGACTTTCTGCTGCTGTTTTTAGAGGGACAGGACATTGTGGCTGTGAAGCAGATATCATGTACACGTCGATGTCATTAGGTGCGGCAATGTTTGTTGATAAAAGAGATGAGCCCATTGTGTTAACAGATGGCCTGGAAGGGTCTTGCCCAGGTATTACTCACTGTAGGCCTACATACACTGTACAGCATTACTGACTGTCACAACTACCTGTAATGGGCTTCGCCCTCTGTGAGAGTTGGCCTGTTCAGGTGTAATCACAGACAGATGGATGGGCTTGGTTATGTGCTTTGTAGTTGTAATTAGATCTAAAGAAAGAGTGTCTCAAGGCACAACTGCGTTTGTTTACTAATTGTTGCTATGTTAGCTGTTGTTAGGGCTCAGAGTGTCTTCAGGTGAGCTAGTCCAATTTGTGCTCTGTATAATGTACATTTAGGAAGAAGACTTTATGAAGAAGACAGTGTTATTATGCACTTAGCAAAATATCCCTCGGTTAGCTTAAAATAAATGCTACAATACAAAACTAGCGCTAACAATAACCAATAGCGATTCTGATAGAATGTTTATTTTCTTATTTTAACAAAAACTGGTGTGTGTGGAGCGTGCAGGAGCCGGTTTGAACCTGGCACCAGCTTATGCAACGTTCTACAACAATGTTTCCCAAACTAGAGGTCGCGACCCCAAGTGGGGTCGCCTAATTAGAAAATTATGACAGAAACTAACATTTAAAAAAATCACACTTGGTTCATAGAACCAGGGTTACGCCATTAACCTCCTGTAGCCACAAGATGCAGTTGTAATAAACAGAGCGGTTTCTGTTTTCTTCATACAAATATGTCTCTATCTTTTGAACGGTTTAAGCTGTGGCGGAGAACCTGGGCCTTATCACAATGCAGAGTGCAGGCTAGTTGAAAACAGCTTGATTTCTGGGATTGGACACAGAGAACCTGGGCCTTAGAGAACCTGGGCCTTATCACAATGCAGAGTGCAGGCTAGTTGTAAACAGCTTGATTTCTGGGGTTGGACATAGATGCTGACTCAGCTGTCGCGTTAAGACGGTACAAGTCAACACGGCAGTCACGCTTTGGTGGAATTGGAATACAATGGGATAATATTGCCTGAAACTGGAAATGTGCTTACAGTGTATTGCCAAAACGTATTATCCAGCCTACTGTTGCTCTTTGTTAGTTTATGGCATGTGTCTGAAAATAGCTGTGGTGTTATCAGGTCCGGTAGTGTCTATGTTTCGTCTGTAGATGAGTTACTCTGTGGAGCTAAGCTCCGCTCTCATACTGAGATGTGTTTCTGTGGGTCTCCGCCTCTCCTCAAGTGCTCCCTAATCCTATTTAGTGCTATTATCTTATCTCCTCCTTTCAATGACAGAGATAGCATTATCCTCCGAATCACACACTATCCAGTTGGCTCTCTAGCCAGAGAGGGAGAGGGAGGCTGCTCCTGATGTGCTGTTGGATTCTGCTTCCATAGACTAGAGCTGTGCAATGAATGTGTCTGTGGCATGGGGTGGTAGTTAGTGTTACACTGGCTGTATAGGGTTCTCAATCCTGCACACAATGAGACTGCGTTAATAAGTATTGCTGGGGACAGACACAGACTGTTGTGAAAATATCAGCGCCGTTCCGATATCTGGTTTTGGCTTACTCGTCCTCAATTCACCCTGTTGATCCCTCTCACTGACAATCACCACACATCACACACCAACACAGATCCACAGCTCCAACTGAATACTCTGCAAAGTGAATGATGCCATCATCTTTTGTCATTGACTATGCCAGTTTCCTGACTATCCTGTCCACATCCTGTTCTGACTCTGTTGTTTTTCTCCCTTGTTTTGTTGCAGTATCACCGAAACCAAAGGAACATGAGGCCCTTGTGGTGGCGCCTGGCCTCAGCTCTGCTCACCCTGCTGTTTGAGCAGGAGGCCATCGCTGGAAGGGGGAGGTGATAGAGAGGACCAGCCCAGACCACCCCTCTCCCACAGGGACTGGACTCCTAATGGCACTGTCAAATTTAACACGGGTCTGTTGGGGGAAAAGAAGAAGAGAGAAAAGGTCACCGCAGGACGGAGACAACCATTTTTGTACAAGGTAGATTTTTTCCAAGAAGATGCCATGTTGTTTCACGAGATTCCTCTACTGGACGATGTCCTTATTTTGGTAATTGTGTGATGTAGTATTTTGTACAGTACATTATTCCTGTTGAATTTGTTTGCACTTCCGTATATGTACATCTTGTATGGCCTCCATACACCTGGGAATGCCTTATCAATGTCTCCTGCCACAACCCAACAACTGTTGACATGAACCAAGCAGAATAAAGCAAGAGATGGAGGGATCTGAAGAAGGAAAAGAAGAGTGGTTCATGGGGTTTTCTTTTCTGAAGTTTCCCAGGAAATAATCGGTCAGACTTCATAACTTACAAATTTCCAAAGACACAGTTTCTCAGAACAAAGCATTTTGCACCTCAACTCGTCCTTCTCCTCAATGGGGTTGTGTATACTGTTATAATACTGTTATATTACATGTTGATTTTTCTTTGCTCTTCCAGTCACTTTCATTGCATTGATTTAAATAATTTTTGTTTTTCCCTGTGTCACCAAAAGTAATAACAACAAAATGGTGGAGCACTCAGTGGCTTCTAAAATTGTTATTTTTGATTTATTAGGATCCCCATTAGCCGATGCCAATGGTGACAGCTAGTCTTACTGAGGTCCGACATATAACGAAAAATACATTACAGACTAAATAATTTACAATTTAGATACAACTTCCAAGACAAAAGTGGATCCCACGAGTTACTTCAAGTTACTCAGAGAGAACACCATATTTTCAATCATAGTCTATTTCAGATTGATCTTTTACTAATTCCACAAGTCCAAAAACTGGACCCCAGCCACTGTAAGAGAGAGTGTGCTGATCATTTTAGTCTCTTAAGACTTTCAGGCCCTTCAAGTGGAGCTATGGATCCACATTGTTTGCACTATAGTACATTAGTCAGGAGTAGATTAGGTTACAAAGCCAACCTCTGTCATTCAATGAAGGTTTTTAACTGTATCTGATTTCTCATTTAACATTACAATGTTTTCATTCACATTTCCATTCATTTTCATTCACATATCATCACAGGAACTGACTTATGGACCAACAATCTGAAGTACTAGTGATGCTGGTTAACTGAATGCCTCATTGAAATTCCAGTGTTTTTTAGCCCTATAACTGATGTGCTTTTTAACCCACTGTCAGATATTCAATTGTATTCTGGACACCAATGCAATAATGTGCAAACAAACCTGTGAAACAACAGCATCTCCTCTCCTCTCAGGATTCTTACATGGGCTTTTATACTTCTTTTTGTACCTGTGGGGTGATCTTGTATTAGTTCTTTGTCCTCAGATCCTGTGATGTAACTGTTTGATAAAAATGACCACTGCTAATCAAATTGACAAGAGAAAGTGTCTGAGATTAGAAGTAACTGGTAGTGTGGAAGACTGTATTTACTGTTGAAATTTGAATCTGTTTGATGTATTCTTGAAGATGCTGTTTGTTGTACATTTTATTGCCTTTTTACTTTACTTTCGTCCATTTTGAAGGAGCAGTATACATATTTTAGACAACTCATTAACCCGGTTATGTTTGGTCCTTCAGTACTTATGTGTCATCATCTGTCTGTATAATCAGAGATTTCTTTCAACCTTTCATTTAGAATACTGGAGATATGTCTCAGGGCCAGGGAAAATACAATACTCTTAGTAAGAGTTTCCCATGTAGAGTAGAATGACAAAGGAAATGAGTGGTTAAGTCCCATTCTGTTGTCTTCATCAGTTGAAATACATTTGATACATAACCACAGATACAAAGGTACACTTTAGACAGACTGGTCAGATGATTACGCTTGCTCTGATTCTGTTATGGCAGGGAATACGTTAGAAGCATGTGGGGCAGTGAGAGATCAGCTGAACGTTGGTGTTGTTTGTTGTTGTTTCCTGCATATCCTGAACACTGAGCCAGTCCCCGTAGCTTCCTGTCTCACTGTAGCCCATTGACCAGTTTCTAAACTCGCTTCTCTCAGTCTACTGTAGCCTACATCTATGTGTACTGCTCCTCCATTTCCTTTAGGACTTTTAGTGTTGTTTTCAGTTTAGTATTTATTTTATTTTTAATTTATTTTTTGTATATTCGCCCTTTTCTACTGTATAGATTTTGTGTGCAATTTATCTTCCTTTTTTTGGTTCTAGATGTGTATATGATACATTTGTTTGACTGTGCAGAGCGATGGTTGTCTGCACTGTGTCTGGTTTTCCCTGAGGGTAGTAATCTCCAGAAATGGGCCCAATCGGTTAAGGCATTTATCTAAATCAGCCACGTCACGTCATCCATTCAGTAGACAGCAGTAGAATATATTTCCTGGTCAATGGTTTGGAGCTGGATCAGTACCCTTCAGACAATTTGCCTCGTTTTTCTTTAGTCACTGGGCATTGGTTATGGGTTCAGTCCTTTTTGTCTTCTTTAGCGTTCTTTTGTAATCAATATGCACTGGAAAGTACTTTGTGTCTGTATGGATCTGGTGGATCCCTGAGCTATCTCTGTGTTATTGTACAGTGTACTCTGGATCGTTCTCTCAAGTCTGTCAGGTGCTGAACTAGCTGAGTGTGTCTCTACTATAGCAGACCATTGACGAAGCTATAACCTGCATAGGACATTGTTTGATTTCTTTGAAAGAGAAACAAGCCACCATGCTGCCCAGAAATCATTTGTTAGAGGGGGTTCTGAAGCTGTGTACTGCAGATAGAATATGGGAAGTCTATGTCTATCTCAGCACTGTGCAAGGCTACAGGAACTGTATAGAGTGAGTTTTGTATATTATGGAAAAACCGTCAGTGTCTTGAATTTTTGTAGACCACTTTCTTTAAAATGTAAGTTTTCCATTTTTATGTTAATTTTTTATTATTATTTGTATTAAGAACCTTCCTTGGTCATTGTCTTTCGTAACTTTTTAATGTCTTTTCATATGAAAGGGCCAAGTTTTATACGGACAGTTTTTAGGCTTTTAAATCCTTTTTAATACCGGTTGGATCTTTTTAACGAGTCCAATGAGATCAAGGGCTTTTTCATATAAAAATGAACTTGAAACATTCCTTTTGTGACTGGTTCTGGTGTGAACATGTTTTCAACGACAACAACAAAACAAAAAATGTATTTCAGTGTTGTACACCATATGATATCTGACATCATCACCATTAAACATGGTCCTTTCTAAGGAACCGATGAACTGTACATGTATTACTGACACCCTGGAAAATGCCTTTAACTGCTCAGTTTAATCTTTAACTGCTCAGTTTCATCTAAGTCTTGATTATCACACACTCTCTGTACTCCCAAGAAAAGAGACCCAGTGAAAATGTAGCATTTCTGTAAACATTGACTGTGTGTTTTCGAGACTGTACTGTGCACTCATTAATTTTTTGTGTTTCATTTTTGTTATCGAAGGACAATTTGTTATGTAGTGCAATATGCTGTACATATAAGCGCTTTTCTCTGCAAATCTTTTTCTGAATTTCTTCTTGTTTTATTGGCTGTTTTTTTTTCAATAAAGTTGTATTAAAAGTGTAAAAGGTTTCTCTGTTATTTTTCTCCAAAAAAAGGTCCCCTGGTAAAAGTAAATGTTATGGTTACTTGATAAATGATTTGCTTCGATGCAAGTTGTGCTGAGGTAGAACTTATTATTCTCTCCCCTCCTACAATGTCAAACATCAAGACATCCATGTGTTATAAGCATCAATGTGAAATGAAGCCACTTGAAACTAGCCAAGCATCTGAGGATAGCCAGCCAGCCATTAGAAGTTAGCCAGGCGTTTGGCATTGGTAGTGCTGATCACATCCCTCCTGCTGAGAGTTCATTAATTTAGTGGGAGCGATGGGGCCTTCAGCCTACACTAATGATGACTACCTAGCAGTTCTGTCTGTACACACACACACACACACGCCTGTCTGGCAGGGCGATGGCAATACTGAGGATGAGTAGCAAGTACAGATGACCTGTGTCCTGGTCTCCAGCAGAGCCCTGGTTAAGAGTGTCCATGTATAGAGCGAAGGAGAGAAGTGCCATCGCTCTGCATTACTGTCACTTCGACAAAGGTCAGAGCCACTGCTGCTGTGCTTGCAGATGACTTACTACTGGGGCTCTGAGGGCAGGGGGCTTGACATATTGCCGATGACAGATATAAACATGAAAGTCCCTTGTGCATTATTAGACCCTGTAAAAGTGATGGAATATCATGCTTAATGTGATGCTTTATGCTTAAAGGGAAATGTAAAAAAATGTCAACTTCATATTCATCATCTCCAGCACCACCCAACATCAACATACTGTATGTGAAAATTGTGTGTTTCTATGTTTTGTAGTATAAAAGATAGTGAAAGATAAGTGTTTCCAATGACATCATCAACCAATTAGTAGGCAATTAGTAGGCAATGCCTACTCATAATTGGTTAAAATTACACAATGCACACTGATGATGTCATTTGAAACACTTACAGTGCCTTCTGAAAGTATTCACACCACTTTACTTTTTCACAATTTGTTGTGTTACAGCCTGAATTTGAAATGGATTAAATTTAGATTTTTGTAACTGGCCTACACACAATATACCATAATGTCAAAGTGGAATTATGTTTTCCATTTTTTTAAACAAATTAATTAAAAATGAAAAGCTGAAATGTTTTGAGTCAGTAAGTAATCAACCCCTTTGTTATGGCAAGCCTAAATAAGTTCAGGAGTAAAACAATTCTTAACAACTTACATAATATGTTGCATGGACTCTGTGTGCAATAAAAGTGTTGAACATGATTTTTGAATGGCTACCTTTTCTCTGTACACCACACACAATTATCTGTAAGGTCCCTCAGTTGAGCAGTGAATTTCAAACATAGATTCAGCCACAAAGACCAGAGAGTTTTTCCAATGCCTCACAAAGAAGGGCACCTATTGGTAGATGGGTAAAAAAAAAAGCAGACACTGAATATATACCTTTGAGCATGGTGAAGTTATTAATTACACTTTGGATGGTGTATCAATACACCCAGTCACTACAGGCGTCCTTCCTAACTCAGTTGCTGGAGAGGAAGGAAACCACTCAGGGATTTCACTGTGAGGCCAATGGTGACTTTTAAACCGTTACAGAGTTTAATGGCTTTGATAGGAGAAAACTGAGGATAGCTCAACAACATTGTAGTTACTCCACAATACTAACCTAATTGACAGAGTGAAAACAAGGAAGCCTGTACAGAATAAAAACATGCATCCTGTTTACAACAAGACACTAAGGTAATAATACTAATAATAGTTATACTAAGCTATATGGAATTGTTTTAAGAAGGTCATACCAAGAATCATTTAGCTATTTGATTTTGAATTTTAAGAACCCTTGAAGTATAAAACAATATTTAAAAACAATATTTAATGGAAAAGAAAATGTGGCCTTACTGCTATTAGCCCATACAAATGCATTAAATAACAGATTTACTACATGGATCAATATATAGTCCCCCCCAAAATGATAGAGATGATCATCCTATTCAATAAGGCATCTAAGGTAATATCAAGGTAAAACATGTATTCCTTTGGTTTAGTCACTACCTTCTTGCCCTTTGTGCTGTTGGCTGTGCCCAATAATGTT